GATTCTACATCAAGTTGTTGTGGAAGTGGAGAGAACCAGGGCGGTGGTTAACACATCAACTGGTTTCAAGTTTGGTATTATACCATTGATGTGTTTAACAATAATACAAGGAAACGGACTTTGGATCAAACTGAGTAGGGACGTCATCCCATTAGTGTTCGTGACGTCAACAGGGGGCGGTATTCATGGGTTAAATTATGGTCACTACAGTCAGTATGACATCAGAACAAAGTCTTCGACAGCTGCACTCTTGATTACAGAATACGTCAACAGTGTGATCAAACAGTTGAAACTAGAAGCAGACGATGTAGGTTAAACAATTAATCTTACAACGCTCAGTTTAAACGAGTTCCTTTCTCTATGACTTTATTTAAGTTTTGCTACTTAAGAACAATTATGGCAATACAATTTAGTTAATTTCTTACCAACTGAATTTATGCTTGACATCAGAACCCCAATAACATACATACAAAATGTAAAATTTCTCTATATTAGGAAATTAAAAATATTACAGAACTATTAATGGAGTTATACAATTTGCTTCAGTCTTTAATGAATGATGTGGAATTGATGATATCATCAAGACAAGATATCGTCAAACCAGACCCGCTTCTAACCATGCAAATATCAAAGACGTTAACTGTAAAGTTGGTCAAATCTCTCACTTTAAGAAATCAAATCGTGGTTCGTCAACACTTAGTATGCTGACCGTTACAGAAGGTCATCTACTATGCACTATTTTAGGCTTGGACGAAGAGTTCACAAAGGAGATCTTTGATATCGATGACGATCGTATATTGCATAAATCACCATATTGTCTTCTAGAAAGAGAGATCAAATTTCAAATCAAAAGGAGCTCAAAAGCGCCAAGTGATCTAACATCAGACTTATTGCTATGTTTCTCACAAGAAAAGTCTCGTGACATAGCCAACAGGATCAGTTCACAAAACGAACCTATGCATTCCTCAATCAACTGGGCTAAGAAATACCTGGAAAATATTTTCACAACCCACCCACTTCTAGCCGAGTTATCATTTTGCGCTAGGTATGAAGCCCTTGATGAATGGTTTGATGCTGAGGTTGATCAGAATTTATCAAGCACTAACAGCACGATAAAACTGCATTTTAAAATAATTAAACATGGGAATGATAGGTACAAAAATAATCAGACCTCTCAATCAATAACTGATAAGTTTAAACAAGACAATCACACATTATTGTTTCATTGTGCACAATATGTCGATTCTTTAGACCTAATTTTGAGGAGAGGAATACTGTTAAGTTTTGGTGGACGTCAGCAGGATTTTTCTAACCAGAGTGACTTCTTATTTGCCGGATGACTATGAAGCGGCTCATGATTTGGCTATTAGAAAGATATGAGTTCCTTCAGCTGTTATCATATATCAAGTCCCAGATAATCTGCTTGTATTTGGTGACACGGCCGGTCTAGATCTAAGTAATGACACAGACTTGTGGTCACGTGTCGTAAAGCACCACAGAATTGACTGTGAGGTGATGAGGACGCAACCCCGGCATTAATTTAAGCATGCGGTCATTTATTAAAGGGGCAATCTGTCAAAACGTGCGCGATTATAAGAAGAGTACAAACTTATTCCCAACTACTTAAAAATGAACGAGAGGGAGGTCCACAATATTGTATTCGCAGTAACAAATGCGCCCTTGATCTCAGTCCGCTATGTTGTTGGGGTTGTTATTTACTAAACCCCACACAGCTAGTAATGTGCGGGAGAGATTTACCTCTAGGGTGAGTTAACATGTTTTTAAATTAATATCTTATTGATTTAAACAAATAAATTTGTATTTATTTATTTTTTCAATTTCTTGTTCTTGCTTCGGACGCGACGATAAACAAGGCATTTTTCGACTTGTGCAGAAGTCTTGACTTGAGCTATATTTTGTTTAGTGTAAAGAAGCGTTACTTAATTCATCAATCTCACTCTCCTGTTGTTGCCTGTTTGTTCCATTGGCAAGACTTAGTCAAAAAATATTCCAGGATGCAGTAGATTAACGGCAGTGTGTCTTGTCTTTCACTGTTTTCTTTAGAGTCTAACATCAAAGTAGTTGTCGGAATTTGTATTGTGTCAAAGTCTCTGTCAATATCGCAGCACAGATGTAGGTTACAATTTGTTCATTTAAAACTGCTACGACATTTACAACTACCCACTTGGCAAACCTTCTTGGCACCATTTTATCAATAACAATTTTTTTTTCAAAATCATTTTTACATGTTTATGGCTATTGCACGTTACGCCAACATAAATTCTTATTTACAATGTTATAATGACCCATTAACACGTTTCTAAAAGCCCGACCAATAGTCAATATTGAACTAAATGGGTTCTGTCGAAAGGTTTTCCAAGTTAAATAGAGTTATTGATTCATATTTCACAAGAAAGGCTTTAGACTGAGTAAGACCCCGAGCTGTATGAAAATACGTCACTTTAACAGAGGACACGCGTAAGTCATGAAGTCTAACTTTTAATTTATAGTTTTAGTATTAGTTTGATATTATTTATATATCAAATAAACGGTATTTTTCTGGCTCTTTCCATTTGTTTATATTATTCGTATCTTTCAATCTCACAATATGTCTTTAATTATGGATTTCTGTTTAATCGAAAAAAAAATGTATTTCAATTGCTATGTATCTCTGTATACATCTGTATATCTGACAAGCTTTCAATAGATATATTTTAAATTAGTATCAATGTCAAGAGTTATTTGTGTATCTACATTTATCGTTTACTCTTGATGTTTCATTTTATAAGTTTGTAAATCTGTCTTTATTTCCTTCTTTTTTTCTTGCTTTTCTGCGTGCATGCTTTTTTACAAATAGTTTTCAAATACTTAAACCATGTGTTACATATCTGTCGAATCATCTATCTGTTTAATGTTAAAAATGTTTTGTGTTTTAGTCGGTCTATGTCTTGTATTATCTATTTAATCGATTAGCAATCTGAAGTAATTTAGCTGAACTAAGTCATCTACCAAATTATCTAATGCAACTACCAGATTAACTAATCGAAATACTATTTTAAATGAACAATATACTTCTTCTTTATAACAGTAATAATGCAATACAGATTGTATTATATTGTTATCTTATCGGTGAATCATTTAGGATAAATTAAAAATCTACAACATTAACGTCAAGCATTCTTCTCATCATGCGACAATGCATTTATTATGCCCCCCTCTCCATGACACCCCTTGATGTCTCACCCCTTTAAAATGAATGGAATGATATATTTTATAATCCTCCCCTCACCTTTTCCCGTTCCACTCACAATGGACAGTATGTCTTTAAATTTTTGATCCAAATTTTCCAGTCTCTTAATGGCCTTTCAAATTTTCTGGTGATCCTCCAAATTTCTACCACTTCCTCCGACCTTCCCTGACCAGGTGCTTCCAATCGATCCCTGAGGATTTCTAAGCATTTTTGCCATGTACCGGTTTATATTATATTATATATATATATATATATATATATATATATATATATATATATATAATTCGCCAGAAGTAGGGCGAACAAGGCCACGCAGGCTATATATAGATATGCCAGAGCAAGCAAGAAGCAGGCAAACCTTCACTTCCCTTCCCTTGTCTGCCCGTCGCTAATCTCGACACATGCGCACTGCTGTGGAGCTACCGCCCCCTGCTGCACCACCCTCACTTGCCAGCCAAGCTCGCGGCGTCTGCAGAGCCGTCTGTCGACAGTTTTTATATAGTTCATGGGCGTGAAATAAAAAGTGTGCAATGACGCATCATGAAAAGGAGGGGAGGGGGGAGGGGGGGAGGGGGTAGGGTTGTAGCAAAATTGGCATTCTTAAATGTTTTTCACGTTTTTGTCAAGTAACTTTAGTAGATGGGAAGTTCACAGCGCCAATATTTGGCGGGCTATATCTAGTTTTATATATTATCGGTGACCGATGATTTTAAGGTAAGGAAGGTGAGGTCTATTTAAGGTCAACCTCACTCTCTCGTACGGGCCCACCATATGCAGTGGCAAGACTCTGCGTCAAGACGATGTTTTTGCTTGACTGGTGGAATTGAACTCCAGACGACAAACTTGGAGTTTGCTCAGTTTAGACCATTCGGTCATCCAGTCACCCAGATATATACACACTAGATCATACTAGAAGGGTCAACGCAAAAACAATGGCCGTGTACAAAATGGCACGAGAGGCATAAACTATAACAATATTTCAGTGCACCACAATATTTCCACACGACCACCCATATATCAAACAGTGCTTATTCATGTCAGAAAGTACACCGTGACTTTTCATAATAATTTAAAGAAATCAATACGGTAATTCAATACCAGTCAGAGCCCAGATCATCTTAATAAGCCACAAGTCAGTGAGGGTACGGAATGTAGAAGAACCCATAGTAATCATACGCAAGTTGGAAGGTAACGAATGTGTTTTTGTGTGTCATTTTGGAGCCTACGTGATCAAATGCATGACTGGAGAAGCAGACTGAGGAAAGCAGAGAATCAGAGCGCAGCTCACAGCGGAATGAGAGCGATGCAGACAAGACAAGATACAATACAATTGAGCGATATAAATTAAAGCTTCATCTTGGAACATCATTTTTTTTAAGAGATTGCTCACACACATTGTTAATGTTATTTTTTATGTTTGTTTTAGTTTTTAATTATTTAAAAAATGATTTTTACACGATAATTTTGAGAAACTTAATTACCTTACCCTGATAATCTAATATTGTATAAATATTTTAATGAATTTGTTAAACATATCAAACACATTCAAATAAAAAAAAAAAACTTTGTCTTAAAATAAAAGCTGATAACTAAAAAGTTTCTTAAAGCAGGAAATGTACGTTATAATAAATAATTTACTATCAATATAATCTTATAGCCAATGGGATATATTATACAATTCTATGATGATGAGGTGGATAATTCAGCTGAAATATTTTTAATGACAGAGTTTTTTAAAATTTATTTACAGATACAAATTTGTACTCTTCGCATGTGATTGAGAAACAAAGGAAATGGGTAATTTTTTTATATAATTTGACAAACCATGTTGCAAAATATTTTAATTTAAGTTTTAGAATTGTATTTGCATTTGTTTAAAATCTAATTAAAAAATATTTTCTTTAACGTATACAATTTAAATTCGATTATAAAAAAAACACACACATACACACACTTTGTGAGGTATGAATGGTGCTTCCCCCGCAAAACACAATGGCTAATAATTTTAACATTACATTTTCACTTGATTAGTTTATAAAAATATAAATTAAGGGTTATTTTTGTTGTATAAATAAATGCCTTGATTTTATTTTAAAGATGATCATCTGGAAACAGCAGATTCTGTCAATTGTATTGAGTCAAAAGGTATTTATACAATGCTACTACGCTCTTTCTTTAGTTGGAATATGATTCTTTATGGTATACATGTATGTAGGCGTGGACTTTGTTTATTGTACGCATCATGTATGTATGATTGTTCGGATCATGGTTCTCTCCACATATATGTGTGTGGTTCGGGACTATGGTTGTTTGTGGTATGTTATAATATGTATATCGTTGAGGGAATTCGGTTTTCTTCGGTATAGTAGTATACGTGAGGTGCTTTGGTTCTTTACGGTTATATTGCATTCCTGGGCATTTCGGTTATATAGTGTTATGCTGCCAATAATCTGCACCGTGCATTTAAAGATTATGTGAATCATTTCATTCTGTTCACACACACATTTCAGGTTGTGGTGAACAAGAAAATATCAATATTTTAGAAAAGGATGAAGGTACAGAAAGATTTTAAAAAATAAACTAAATACAATGTAAATACAATTTAACTAGAGATTCTTGTTAAGCTTTTGGTTTTGGCTTCAATTTCGGCTGGAAGTCATTTTTAAATTTCGGCTCAATTTCAGCTTCGGTCGAAATCAGAAAATCACTTTCGGTCGGTCTCTACTTTTGGTTTTTGTTCTCAGGTTTTGAGCTGCTCACAGATTTCACCAGGGTTAATTTTCTCGAACTTGCAATAATACTAAATAATGAGACAGCAACAGCTGATGAATTGTCTTACATATAACTTGAACTATCACAGTCTTAGGCGTGTCTACATGGCAGAATTACACATGATAAAAAAACAACATGGGTTTTCTGTTCCCGCAATAAGAATTATTATTATTTTTTTTTATTGTTTCGTTGGACCAATGAAGTGTGCTTCATGTTACCTTCGATGTGTTATATTTCCCTGAGAGGAAGCATTGCATTTTCATTTGCGTTAATTCTGTATAGTCCTTGGAAGGATCAGGCCTGCATTCCCTCATATTCCTTGTAGACTGATCCATGACCTTTCGTCTTCCTGCCAGTACTCCAAACAGATCAAAATCTGATTCTACATCATCATCCACATCGAAGGCTAGATCTGCCGATGAGCTGTCTGTCCCATTTATTCTGTATCTATATTCTTACCTTCTAATTCTCTCTAACGTGAAACACGCACAAGGTGTCCTTTTTTTGTAACGGTCTATCTTTTTTTCGATTGCAGATACACTTTTTTGGGTCTCTGAAAGAATTTTATTGTTGATGATAAGTCATGATGTTCGAATAATTATTGTCCGATTAGGTTTATAAATATTTTGAAGATATTCTTAATCATATGCTTGGCTTTGTCAATAACGGAGACAACAAATACTTCAAACGAAAAAATGTTGAAAAACTGTTTGACCTGACTTAAAGTTTACGGCAGTGTCTTTTAAAAACTTTCTAACTGTGGGACATGGACTTGGAAGGAAAATATGGATATTTTTTTTTCAATAAAGACGCATAGACAAAATTGGCTGTTATAATCAAACATAAATATCTTGTGTTGAAAACTATTTTCATGAATTCAGTAAGTTAATATTCATATTATCATAATTATTCTAAAGGAATGCGTTTGGCTAGCAGTTTTTAAACATGAATTTATCCCTAGTGCCAACAACTGTGCATACCTATAATGGGGATCATTTTTATAATACAGTCTCCTTAGCGTTAGTTCGGAAGATGTTCAATAAGTTCGTGTTATATACTTCAAATATAATTTAGATTTATGTTCACTACAGATAGTAGAAAGAATGTAGAGTCAGAAGGTATGGAAATAGGTAAGTGTAATAAAATAATTTGTTATTTTTTATGTCATTGCAATTTAATGCTTTAATAATTATTTAAGTTATATATATATATATATATATATATATATTATATACATATATGTATTATATTGCATTATTTTCATTAAGGTATATTATTTGAATTTGTAATCAAAATATTGCTTTCTTTTTTTTTTTAAATGAATACTAAATTAAACAAAAAAATTATACTAAATTAAAGAAAAAAATGCATGAAAATAAAAAATTCATAAAAATTAAATAAATTGTCAGTATGATACAGAGTTATTTAAATACAAGTTAAAATAATCATATAAAGTTTTCTATCTTTCATTGAAGGCACTTCAGTTAAAAGAAAATATCGAGATTTAACAGATACAGGTAATAATGATATTTCCGTGTGAAGTACTTTTACTTAATTCTTAATATTATTTCTAGTTTTTTAATCTGAATTTATATTTAGTTAAATTACCAGCGATGCAGTTTATTATATAAGAAATACTATTGCTTGATTAAAGAAGCACTTTCAGAATACATTATTATTACGCCTGCGCAGGGAAAAATTAACACACTAAAAAAAAGCCCTGTTCATAAAATACATTTAATGTTATGCTTCTTTCATTTTCAGAAAAAGTTTACGATGACGATGAAATCAAACGAAAAATTCGAAAAGGTAAATACAATTTTGGAAGTTTGAAAGAAAAAGAAGAAATAAAACGCTCGTTTAAAGCATTGAGTGATGACCGAAACAAAATATTTGTCTTTCACACATGATGTTATGTTAACATTTCAAAATACTATTAACTTTTAACAATTTTGAATAAATATTTTAATCTAATAGTTTCTGCAATTTGCTATAATATTTATAATTGTTAAAATATATTTTTTTAAATAAATCTCTTTATTTTCATTTAAGAACATTAATTAGCATAAATTGATTAAATGGTTAACTGTTTAAAGATGTCTGTGTCATAGAAATGTAGCTGCAAGATTTTGGTTACCGGAAATTTGTTTGAAAGTAATTTTCGAAAACGAAAAATTTTAATATAATAACGAATGAGCGTGTTTTTGGTCGAAAGTTGTATTTAACTGTGAAAACATTAATGTTAAAATTATTAATTTGGAAACGATATTGTACTTGTGATTTCTCAATCAAACGATGCTATTAAGTATATAATTTTAAAAATGACATTGATTAAATTCAAAAGCATTGGATCTGAGTAAGACTTTTGTTTTTTAATTAACATTTTAAAATGATACTTTTAATTAATAAATTCGTAACACGTTTTCTCTGTTTGAAGTTAAACGAGTTTGAGTGTGTTATTAATGCAAATAAATATTAAAATTTAAATAGAAGCTTATGATTTATGCTTCACCAGTATCAGGGGAAAGCTCTTCATTTACAGGAAACAATCCAAACGTTTCATCATCAGAGCATGAGGACAACTATACAGTATCAGAAAGCTGTCAAGGAATTTTAACTCCACAACCAGTAGAAAACTCTATGGTACCAGCCTGCAGTCAAGAAATATTAACAAAAGAACTGGAAGAAAACTCTACAATGCCAGCATGCAGTCAAGAAATATTAACGAAAGAACTGGAAGAAAACTCTACAATGACAGCATGCAGTCAACAAATATTAACAAAAGAACTGGAAGAAAACTCTACAGTGCCAGCATGCAGTCAAGAAATATCAACAAAAGAACAGGAAGAAAACTCTACAATGCAAGCGTGCAGTCAAGAAATATTAACAAAAGAACTGGAAGAAAACTCTACAATGTCAGTACGCAGTCAAGAAATATTTACAAAAGAACAGGAAGAAAACTCTACAATGCCAGCGTTCAGTCAAGAAATATTAACAATAGAATCGGAAGAAAACTATATGATACTAGCATGCAGTCAAGAAATATTTACAAAAGAACCGGAAGCAAACCTTACAGTGCCCGCATGCAGTCAAGAAATATTAACACCAGAACCGGAAGAAATCTCCACAGTAGCAACAAGCGGTCAATATAAATTAACTGTAGAACAGAAAGAAAACTCTACAGTGCCAACATGCAGTCAAGAATCACCAACAAAAGAAGGCATAGACAGCAAAGTAAGAACTTTTTGTAAATAAGTGTTTTATATATATTTTTTTTTTATAGAATGAAAAATATATTTTAATGTATTTGAAGTTGCAGATAATAAAAATTTGATCGCATTTCGAAAACCTTCAAAATTATTATTTATTTATTTATTCTAGACTCAACAAGATTGTCACGACATTTCCATAGAATTTTTCTCAGAAGAAGACCTACTACAACGTTTCTTAGTGGAAGTGAAGCGAACCTGGAAGGTGGTGAACACACTGTCAGGTTTCAAGTTTGGTATCATTCCACCAATGTGTCTATCCCAGGTTGAAAAAGTCGGACATTGGATCAAACTTAGTAGGAAAGTCATCCCATTTGTCTATGTGACGTCAGAAGGTGTCAAGATTAATGGGGGAAAAGATGTTCAAGACAACCCAGAGGACATCGATACCAAAGCCTCTACAGCTGCATTATTGATCACAGAATATATCAACAGAGTGATAGAAAATTTGGAACTGGAAGCACACGATGTAAGTTTGATTAATGTGCACATTATTTGCTCAAGTGGACACAGTCCTCTGATTTAACTAATTTGTTTATGTTTTCTTTCTTTTTTAATCAAGAATAAGTTTTATCATCTATAAAATAACCTGTTATGATATTTGAAAATTTATCGCAAGAGACTTCTATTAAATATTTGACTTCAAACAACATTAAGCCCTATTAAAGCAACACATTTTTTTTTCTGTTTCAGGAAATGGTAACATTTAAGGACATGTTGAAAGAGTTGCTCGCCCTGCTACAGCCTTTATTTAATGATATTGATTCTAGTGTGTTATCTAATACTACACAAAATTTTAGCCTGACGATGTCGAAGGTCAAAGACCTTAAATTTAAAGTTGATCAAATTTCTGGTATTGATGGAATCGGTCGATGCACGTCAATAAAAAGCACCCTGACAGTGACAGAAAGTCATTTATTGTGCAGAATCTTAGGCTTGAATGATGAGTTCACCCAGAAGATGATTGATATCGAGGACGAAAGAGCCCTCCTTAAATCACCAATCTGTATGATCGAAAAATTTATTGAAGCTGAGATGAAGAAATTAAACATGAACCGTAGATATTATGCAAGAGGAAATATAACTTCGGATCTGTTACTGCTGGGCCTCTCACAAGAAAAGACACAGGAAATAATGAAGAAAATCAAGAACCAAAATGGGAAGACGCGCTCGCGCTCTGCAATTTACTGGGTTAAAGAATATCTGGACAGTCTGTTCTCAACTCACCCACTTCTGACACCTTTGCCATTACTAGATAGGTACGCGGATGAACCAATAAATGAATGGTTCAATGCCGAAGCTTACCAACGTGCCGAAGACGATGGGAACTCAATAAAACTAAATTTTCAAATGATTAAAGTTGATTTTGGGAGCACAGAATTAACATCTGATATAATAAAGGATATTTTTAAGCAGTCCAATTCCAAACTACTCTTTCATGGAACTAAAGAAGCAGATTCCTTAGACAGCATTTTGAGGGAAGGGATACGATTAGATCTGGGAAGAATGAGGCAAGATTTTTCTAACGGAAGTGGCTTTTATTTGTCTGATGACTTTAAAGCTGCCAAAGATTGGGTCGAGAAAAGGGGCGATCATAATAGCGCTGTCATCATATATCGAATTCCAAAAACCCATCTTGTGATCGGTGATAATGCAGGTCTAGATTTAAACGAAGGTGGGTGGTCACGTGTGGTGAAATACCACAGATCTGATTATTATCTAGAAGAAGATGTACCCGATACATTTGATCTGGAAAGTCGATCATTTATTAAAGGTTCTGTCTGCCTAAATGGAAATAAGGTAAGGAGAAAAAATAATGTATCGCTATATCCTCTAAGAATAAATGAAAGGAGAGTGCAACAATATTGTATCCGAAGTGAAAGTTTTGCGCTTGAATGTAGTTCCCTTGTTGTGGGAGTAGTGATTCACCATGTGTCAGACACAAATTAATTGTCCGCTATTATCGAGAATTCTTTATAAGCTAATATTCTCTAAAGTTCATCAGATTTGACTGTCCCCCATTATTTTAAATCATTCTTTAGTATACTTTAAACTCAACTAAAAATTAATTATTTTCTAAATATATTTTTATTTTCCACTTTACTGAGACACATTCTAATTTGGATCTGATTATAACTATATTAGACACTTTGGTGAGTTTCAACCTCAAATCTCCATCAATTTCTTTCCTATTTCTGGGCCACGAATTTCAGCAATTATTGTCTTTATATAAATCCGTTATTTTCCACAAGACTGTTTATTCCTAAACTTTACATATTGATCTTTAATTTTAAATAAAACTTAGTCCGTAAAAATGGTGCTGTTTAAAATGGCACATTACGGATTGATTAAAACTGTTAAAATTATGATCGTTTCGTCTTTTTAGAAATAAATCCTTAGTGAGAGTTTTATTTCAATACGTGTATAACATCTCTGCACTTTTCAAGGGCGTTCTTTAAGACGACACAGTTTTAATATGTATTCCGACTATAAAAGTTTATGGATATTTTATTTTAGCCAGGGTTAAAAAAATACCCTCAAAACAAATTAGATAGTTTTATCTAATTCATTTATTTATGATACAAATTTATGAAGAAAAAAAATAATGTTAAAAAATTATCACTGAAACATCAAAGATTGTAAACAGTTTGTATATTTATTTTTGTTTTTTTGTCGTTGTTTGTTTATTTTTTTAAAAAGTATGATGAATATGATTTTAATGGATGAAACTTAATTGACAATGCAGAGGATGTGCTCTCTATTGTCCAAGTTTTTCAATGGACCCAAAGTTAGCTGAAGCAATGTGCATATATACGAACCTGCGATGCAGGCCTCTTTAAATTGTCACAACTATAGTTAGATCTTTGTACAACTGCCTCATTTCTTGATTGTTTTTTTTCATTTGCTATCGATTATTACCTCGTATATATCCGTTTATATTACTCATGATTAAAATTCACCCAGTATTCATGTTGTTTTCCAATAAACACATAATTTTTAGATTCGTTTAATCTTTGATTGGAAACGAAATCTCTTATTGAGAGCTTCGAAAACAAAATGGTTTTTTTTTTCATTATTTTTTTTTTTTTTTTTTTTTTTTTTTTTTTTTTTTTTTTTATTTTTTTTTTTTTTTTTTTTTTTTTTTTTTATTCATGTTGTTTTCCAATAAACACATAATTTTTAGATTCGTTTAATCTTTGATTGGAAACGAAATCTCTTATTGAGAGCTTCGAAAACAAAATGGTTTTTTTTTTCATTATTTTTTTTTTTTTTTTATTTTTATTTTTTTATATCTAAATTTTTGCCGTTTCTTGTTTTCTTTTAGCTGCCGAAGGAGGCGTTAGGCTGAAAGGTCCGTTTAATTGTGCGTAGACCTATTTTGTTCCACCATTTATTTACTTCTCATGGCTTGATCACGATCTCTCTGGTAGTTTCTTTTATATTTTGCGTTCGGCCTGCCTAATATCACATTTTATAACAGCCGTAAGTTGATAATTCTCAATCCGTTATGAGTAAATGTATTTCTAACTATTTTTATTATCCTATTAAAAATGTTGAAACAATTTCGGAGATGCAACGAATAACACAATAGAAATAATCTTTATCTGTATAATAATTTAAGTCCATGCGAATAAATATTTTTTTTTTATCTTTTAATTTGTTCAAATAATTTTTGTCAATAAATATTAATTGTTTTTAATGATCCCCTAAAAATATTTTTTTTTAAATATTGATTTGTAAAAAAAAAATATCGCCTTTTTTCCGCTGCCCTACTTTAAGACACTGACGTCGCAGCTGTTTTAGGTGTATCCAGTTCTATACATTTTGGAGAACTATCTCAGTGCCCGGGAAAATATATTGTTTATCATTCAAAAAATGTCTTAGAAAGATTGAAAATGTCCCTTGATTTTCTGAAAGATAAATACGAATCGTATTATTTGTTCTTATTCTTTAAAAGAAAATAGAACCAGTAAAATAAAAATGAGTTGCAATGATACAACCGCTCGCCCTCTAATTTCAAATCAAACTCAGCTGCACACTTTGACAGTTGTTAAAACATTTTCTTGAGCATATTAATTTTTTTAAATTTCTCATTTATATTTTTTCATGCAACGTTATCTTCTATTTATGCTTTAAAATGTATTTCCTTCACATCCATTTACGAGTCTCTCTCAATATATTAGACACCCCTACCAAACCTGCACTTATTCTTCACAATACTTTGCTCATCATATTAATTCAAAACCATACCTAATATCTCAAACTCCTTACCCACAATTAAGAAGAGTTACATTAATGATTCTAATATAAAAAAAAATATGACAAATCAATAAATAAACACAATTTTTTAACCGGTAGTTTATTTCACTTCGCAACTTCTCTCTCTCTCTCTCTCTCTCTCTCTCTCTCTCTCTCTCTCTCTCTCTCTCTCTCTCTCTCTCTCTCTCTCTCTCTCTCTCTCTCTCTCTCTCTCTCTCTCTCTCTCTCTCTCTCTCTCTCTCT